TGTTACATATATATTATATATAAATATATATACAAAAACTGTTTAATGTTCTACTAATATCATCATGCAATTTGCTGCAAAGTTAGTACTAATTGATTATTATTCATTTCATGTAATCTAAACAGCTTTTTTTAATTATTGTGATTTTATGGCTAAATGTGTGTTTTGTACCGTCTCTTTTCAAAGTATCTACTATTACACTCATCATATTTATGTATCTTGATAAATAAAATTAATTTTGTACGAAATTACAATTTTAATGCACTTTATGAATTTGAATTAAGAAATAATTCTAACAGAATTTCTATCGAACACAAATCGTTTCCATGTTGGTCAAGATTAATACAAATATCTAATAAGAAAGTTTATATTCATATTAAAGTTTGTATAATAATTGAAGAGTGAGGCATCTAAAATAGGTCATCTAAATAATTCGCTTGTTTTTAACGATATGAAAAAATGTTTTAGATGGAAATGGAACGAGGGGATATGTTGTCTTTGTACAGGTGAAGACACTAAAAAGATACGAAGGTTACCTCCACTTATGAGATATTTTACACTTTAGTCTGACATAAAATATTAAATATTACGTAAACTATTATTTCTTTAATATATCTGAAATATTTTTTCGTATCATCAAAAATAAGCAAATTATTTAGGTGGCCTGTTTTATATGTCCTATCCTGTATAAAAAAAACGAAAGAAATTCGTAAATTAAATCGAATTTTGTACTGAAAGTATTTATTTTATGGTAATGCAATATGTATTTCGATGTATCGCGTACAAAAACTTGACTTTATAAATAATCTAATTAGAAATTAGATTTTGCGTACCTGGAGAATTCGTAAGAATCGGGTTCGTGGCCACATGTGAATCCGTCAGTTCGAAGCAACCGTTCCAGATCTTGACCAATAATGCCCGATTCACAACATACCAACAAATTGTCTCTATCTATCCACAATATTCGATTCATTTGCGACGTATCTAATGAAATTATCGTTCGACGTTCATCCGGAGGACAACACGCCGCACGGCTAACACTGGTTCCACCACCAAAAGGTATACAAACAACTCCATAATATGCACATACATTAACAATCTTGACAATGTCTTCATGGCACTCTATAGACATGAATATTAATAAAGATTACTCTACGGTAGAAAAGCTTTTTCATGGAATAAAGAAAAAAATTTAAAAACACGTAATCATACGAAAACAAAAAACGCAAAGTGTTATTTTCTCAGAAGCTATTAAAAACGTTCATGATTTACAAATGATTAGTAACGACGTCTTTTATATGAAATTTTTATAGGCTTTCTAATTTTTATTATTTTTGTATGTGTGTGTGACTTTTATTATATGACGTCATTTTAGGATTCATAGTCAGTTCTTATTTCAAGTCTTAATCTTTAAAAGGCTGGTATTTTTCTTCTGAAATTTTGAATTTTTTAAATTTATGCGTATGTAGAACCTATATGTTATATAAAGTTTTCGAGTTTGTTGCTGGCCACTAATGGCCAGAGCGGCTTTGAATGGCACAGTCAATGTTGAAAATTTTCAAATTTTGAATTTTAGCATTTAAAAAAAATTGTTACTATCGCGAATCACGATTATTAATTATGATGTCAAATTATCGAAATTTTACACAGAAACAATGTTGCCTAAATGTGTCTAAATGAGTAACAGTAGTTACAAATGTATGCGAAACTTTCCTTCAGCATTACTCAGAGCTAATTTATTTTACATATAAATATGTTTCTCAAGCACAGATACATTAATATATACACATATATTAATTGGGTGAAATATCCGATTTATAATTTAAACAGAAATTCATATTGATTATTCTATGAACTACTCGCATGTCACGTACAAATATACATACAATATTGATTTATTTCTGTAGAAAACTTCGCACATATTTTACGCATCATTTTGACAATTCATCTTTGACAATAATAACGCAATAGTTATGACATCAAAGATCATTTAAGCTTCTTGAATTTTTTTCTTGAATTGACAAAAAAATCTTACGAATATACGTTATGTAGAGGAGAATGTCCTAAATCGAACTGTATTCTAAATCGGACCTTTTTAATTTAAATAAATATGGTTAAGTAGATTTGCGTGCTATTTATAATGTAAAATCCTTATAAGACACCGAATATGTGACAGTATGGTAGTTTGTCAGTACTCTGTCATAACGTTCATAGAATAGATGCAAATATGTATTTTCGGCTATCATGCGAGATTTAAAAAAAAAATCTTTGTAAATCATTATTTAAAAGATGTTAAAAATTTGAACGGTAATTGATTTAAGATAATTAAAGAGTGTAGAATTAAAAAATATCAAAAGGTTTGTGATTACTTTTGCGGTTTATTGTAAAATTTGTTCCAATAGTTTGAAAGAACCCGTGTTCAAATCAGACCTCTCTTTAGGTGTGTAAAGTGGATCTATACAAAAAACACCAAAAAGAGTAAGTCAGCTAATTCATCAAAGAAAGAAGGTTCGCCACAACCTGATTGTAGTGCTGGTGATCGACCGACCAGATCTGGTTTAAGGAACACTAAATCAATAAAATATCATGTATCATCAGACTCAGATTGATGGAATTTTTTATTGACTTTAATTCTAATAGTATAAACTGTATTTTTATCTTTGAGTCTTAAATTGCTCGTTTTTACTCAATACTAATAAAAATTAATTAAAATATTTCAAAATTCTAAAAGTTTATAAAAATAGGAAAGGGCCGATTTGGAGGATAAGTTCCAAATCGGACCGAAAAATACATTTTTACATTTTCCATTATAGTTCAACATAGATAAGAGATACGTCAAAATAGTCTCAAGCAAAAATGAAGGAAATTAAATGATCTTTCGAACGGTACCATTGGTTTTATGATCGGACTTTATTTACGCCTTATAGAGAACAAAAATTGCAAATAGGTCCGATTTAGACCACTCTCCCCTATAATAAGTTTAAGGATATTTAAAAATTCCTGTAAAAATAACTTTGAATTAAAAATAACGAGATTATTCATTTCTATCAAATAAAAATATACATGTTTCTAATATAAATTATTTCCGGTGAAAATCTTTCACATTAGAAATAAATTAATATATCAAATATGTTTCTAATTCAAGAGGACAAAAGATCGTCAATATCACTCTATATTGCATCGCAACAGCAATAAATAAGCGGAGTAATAATACTTTGATCTACTGATTATAGACTTTCAGAAAAAAGTCGACATATAAAAGAAATTTCCATTCAATCGCGGTTGTTTTATGTACAGCAATATATGTGTGTATTGTTTGCGCGTATAGATCAAAAAATTAAAATAGAACATCTTGCATATATATTATATATACGAGGTCTGTCCCAAAAGTATCCGACCTACCTCCATTTTTCGGCGCTTGGCTTATTTTTCGTCATCCGGTTGGTGGCATCCTTCGAAGTAGTCCCCATTTGATTGAACAACATGCTCATATCGATGCTTCCACTTTCCAAAGCAGTCTTGAAAGTCAGTTATTGAAATCGCCTTTAGTGCATTCGTCGCATTGGTTTCAACAGTCTTCTTGTCGTCGAATCGGTGTCCTTTAAGCGGCATTTTCAATCGAGGAAATAGCCAAAAGTCGCAGGGAGCTACGTCGGGACTGTACGGAGGCTGGCGAAGCTGTACAACACTGTGTTAAAGGACACCGCTTAAAGGACACCGATTCGACGACAAGAAGACTGTTGAAACCAATGCGACGAATGCACTAAAGGCGATTCCAATAACTGACTTTCAAGACTGCTTTGGAAAGTGGAAGCATCGATATGAGCGTGTTGTTCAATCAAATGGGGACTATACTTCGAAGGATGCCACCAACCGGATGACGAAAAATAAGCCAAGCGCCGAAAAATGGAGGTAGGTCGGATACTTTTGGGACAGACCTCGTATGTATATGCAAAATATTCTATTTTAATTTTTTGATCGCGATTCTTATTATTCAAAAAATATTTCCAATGAAATATATTCCGTCCCTAAAAAAACATTTTATTTTTGTCATAATAACTTTTTTCAAAATAGAATATTTTAAGCATTTGAAAATTACCTCAATTTATTCATTTAAATATGATTTTTTAAATGTATAAGTTGTTTTGTTTTAGTCTTTATCAAATATTGAAAAAGAAATAGAGAAATAAATATTATAAAAACTGTAACAATTGTATCATTCATAAAATTTGTTAAGATTATTCTCACGAATACGTCTCTACAATTTTTTTGGGTAATATAATCTAATAAGATATTTTTTGAAGATCAGCGTCGTATTTATGTACATTTTCATAAGTATGATCAAACTTCGCTTATTTATTGTAGTTTTTATGACAATGATCAAAAAGTATTAACTTACTAGGCCACATAACAATATCTGGTATCCTTTGGTAAGAGCCATGCTTCAAAAGATAAATTTCTCGCAATGTATGGCCGTGAGCTCGAAACAGACGATCGACACCATCGATAGAATAATCGATCGCTAATTCCTTGATCGCATCCAACAATTCTGCAGAAAGAATTGGTTCTGGAAAATGTTTCGGTAAATTTTGGAACGTGCATTTCATGTCCCATGTTATATCAAAAGTTGTTTCACACCATTTTGTGAAATATGGAAGCTCCCGGTTTCCAATGGGATATCTAAAAAAAATTAATGCTGTTTACACATGGAAAACTGATATCTACGTAGCATATTCTTACAAATTTAAACGCTACATTAAGAAACTGCTATCATTGGAAATCAGGTATTTACATATTACTTTTATAGCAGGATTATTATTAGATCATTTCCACGACAATAACTGCTCTTTTTGGCAAAAAATTGGAGATCCTTTTATTTGTGTTCAGGAAAATATGGAGATGGAGGAGCCAGCTCCGAACAACGTCAAGGTCAAGGTCATCGGGGCTGGCTCCTCCATATCCATATTTTCCTAACACTAATAAAAGGATCTCCAGTTTTTTACCAAGAGCAGTTATTGTTGTTGACCCTTAAGAAACCTTTAACAAGTTTTAGCCGTCACCCGTTATTCGTTAAAAAGTTATTGATAAAAAAAGTATGTTTTTTTCTCCAATCAAAACTTCTCTGCTTTAAATTAGATTTCCTGCTTTAAAAACACAAATTTTTCTTGGAAACGTTATTTTTTCTTATAATTTTTGTTTTTATTTAGTAGCACATAACTTTTTGAGATGTATAATTGTACCTATTATTGCATACAGATTTTTCAATTCTACAAAATAATTTATTCAACATTATTTTGAATAGGACACATTTCATTCATAATATCTAAAATTACTTCAATTCTTCTTTTAAATGAATAAATTCTTTTAAATAAAAATTTAGCAATATAATACAGTCTGTCTAGTAAGAGCGTGGCACAGGCCTATCTAAAAGAAAAATGACTTATTAGCCTTAAATTTATATTGATTGTATTCAGTAGGATTATGGCCAAAATGTAATTATATTAATAAGGAGTCCAGTCATCAGCTGCGTCTATAATAGACTGGCATCTCCGAGGCATACTTTCCACTACAGTCTGCCTAGTAAGAGCGTAGCAAGGCTTATCCACAATCGAATAAAGATATACTCTGAATTTTTGTTTTCGCCGATAGGTGTCACCTTTGTGTTATATGCATTATAAGCAAAGTACCCGTTGTTGCTTGAATTGTGTTAGAATAAACGATTTTCAAAATGAGTGCTGTTTATGCATCTCGTTTCGAAGCAGGCTTTATCTCTTTACTGACAACCTTAATGCTGAGAAAATGTTAAAAATATTGTTGATACGGGCGCAACAATATACTTAAAAGCTTTCATTCCGTCTGCCCAACGCTGGTTTATCAGTAAAGATAAAGATTGGTTACTTCAGGAGGATATAATGACCCCAAACACCGAACCCGGCTCTGCACGTCCTGGAAAGAGGGAAGTGACATCGAGACACTCCACTGGCCTTCACAATCACGATGCGAATCCCATCAAGAGGAAGCTTCGTGGAAGATCGTCAACTTCGAAGCGCTTAAAAAACGAAATTCGACGAATCTGGAGGTCTTTGCCACGTGAATATGCGAATTCTTTGTCAGTCTATTATAGACGCACTTGGTGATTGGACTCCTTATTAATATAATTGCATTTTGGCCATAATCCTACTGAACACAATCAATATAAATTTAAGGCTAATAAGTCATTTTTCTTTGAGATAGGCCTGCCACGCTCTTACTAGACATATAATATTTCTTGCGTATTCCGTAACGAGAAATTATGCTACGCAATCGCGCCATATCCTTTCGATATTTTATATATGACGACAGGCACTTATAGCATCAACAAAATTTTGTAAATGCCATGGTTAACATAGTAGCATGAATATAAATGCTGACTCAATGACGAATATCCACGCCAACAATCACTTTAAAAGTCGCTTCGTATGGAAAGTTGAAACTCATGTCACTTCGCGCAAAAAGTCGAGCGCCCCTTGGTAGGGGGAAGTAAATAAGGGATGAGAATCGCTTCGTGTGGAAACTCATATTCCCTTAATCAGTCGATCCCATATCTCTCGCTACTCAGAGTTATGTAACTTTTCATGTTAAACAGGGAAATAATTACTAACTTTGACTGTTAATAACTTTTTACTAAATAAAAACAAAAATTATTAGAAAAAAATAACGTTTCTAAAGAAAATTTATGCTTTTCAAACAGGAAATCTAATTTAAAGCGGAAAATTTTTGTTCTATATTATAGAAAAAAAACATTTTTTCATATTTCTTCTATCAATAACTTTTTAACGAATAACAAGCGATGGCTAAACCTTGTTGGAGGCTTCTCAAGATCATGACCTTGACAATATATGTCAAGGTTAAGGTCATCGGAACTGGCTCCCCTCATTTCCATAACATTACCAGTGCGCCATTTCTAGAAGTTAATTTTATTCACTCGAAATAAATTCGCAGTAAAAAATAGCTTATTTATCAGGACTGGGCAAAATACATCATTATAAAGTATTTGAAATACAAAATACTTTCAAAATCTGTATTTCAAATACAAAATTGTTTTTTTAAGTACAAAATACAAAATATTTCTACATTTTTATTTTGAATATAAAATACTTTTTTTTAAGTATTTCAAATACTTCCAAAATTGTATTTTGTATTTCATCCGTTTTATTAAAATGGAAGGAATTTAGCACAAAAATAAACATTGTGTGCTGTAGGCTTTATATACGATATTAGTAGCAGGATTTCTCTAAAGTTTTATTGACGATTATTAGTATCGTTAATTATATCGCCGATAGCCAATGGCAAGAACGGTTCTGAGAAAAGCGCGATTCTCATTGGGCAGTTAAAGATATCGTCGATATCGACAATCTCATCAATAAAATGTTTATCGAGAAATTATTGAAAAATATTGGAAATTATTCATTGAAGCGATGTTGAACCAAGTTTTTTGATTCTTTAAATTCGTTTCTATCTCTAATCCACTTGAATCGGTAATTACGAATTGACTATTTGCTTTCTGTATCTCATCCAATATGCATAGCAAGGAAATGTATGTACAACCAATTTGTTTAAACCTGTAAATACAATCCGTATGGCCGTTTGCTTTTTGTACCTCACACAATGAACATCAAAATATACATAATTTGCTACCAATTCGTTTGAATTGCATAATTATGTATATTAGCCATTTACTTTTGTTATCACACCCAATGTTCACACCAATGATTATGCGATCAATTCGTTTTAATTTATCATGTGGTATGTGGTATTGAAACGAGTACATTCAAATTAATTGGAATAATAGCTATAGGCATCAAATTTATTACATCGGTAAAGATCAGATCTTTTTCCATAGTTAAGGTCTAGTCTACAATCAGTCGGGAGACGTTTTTGTCATATGTCGTGCGCATACACAACCTTGATTTTTATGTGTGGCTGTCGGGCATTGTTGTTTGGAACATGGTCTAGTCACTAGAACCATTTCAATGTAAATACATTGAAAACATATTAAAATTCAAAATACATAGAATACCCTTCTTGAAATACAAAATACATTTTAGAATGTATTTAAAATATAGTTTGTATTTCAAATGCTGTATTTTAAATACAAACTGTATTTCAAATACACGTATTTGAAATGTGCCCATATCTGCTTATCATACACTACTTACAAAAATTAGAGGAACACTTAATTTTTTGTAAAAAATAAACAAAATTTAGACAGCTGCAACTTTGTTAAGAATAAACAAAACATGAATTTAAAAACTTGAAATCTCTACTTTCGACAGGTTACTATTTTTTTTAAGTTTCTTTGAGTTTAATAATTTTTACACAGAAAACTATGAATTGAACGAAATGAGAAATTTTTATTTCACTTTGTGGGCTTGTCACGTTCAAAGAAAAAAACCGCAAAAATTTTCGATTTTTTGATGTAAAAGCTTGAAGTGTTTCCTACAAAATTGTTTTTTAAAAATGTTCTACAATTTTCCGTTACTGAATTATCGTGGAATAAGTAAAAAGTGAGCACTTTGATTTTGATTGCCCATTACTCCGTTAAAAATTATCGTACCGCAATTAAAAAAAAAAGTCTTAAATAAAGCTAAAACTTTGCTCTATCTGATGATGTTGTTGCCAAAATTAAGAAACGCGTAAACATGATACAAACGATTTAAGATATCATAAGAGTTAGCAATTTTTCTCTTTTTCATTTTCACTCAGAAAAAGTTGTGTGGATCAACGACAAAAATTTATTCTTCACGTTTTTTATGCTTCTAAGTATCCTGCATTTATAAAAAATTTGCCGAATAGGTATGAGATTTCTTTTGTGGTGGCATCTATGGTTTTATGATATAAAATGTATAAAAAATAGGAAAATTGCTGAATTTTAGAGAAAAAGAAAGGAAAAAAAATGAAAATGAAAATTTAATTAACGTTAAAAGATCAATTTCAAGTGCGTCAACGCTACACTGATCTTTACCAAGTGTAGGGGTACGAATAAGTTTATTTATTCTTTTTCTTCACTGAAATTTGAAAAAATCCCGCTGATATTAGCATTATATCCAAAGCGTACCACGAGGAAGTCACACGGTCAGATTTACGCTTCACTCTGTGTGTGTGTGTGTGTGTGTGTGCGTGTGTGTGTGTGCGTGTGCGTGTGCGTGTGTGTGTGTGTGTGTGTGTGTGTGTGTTGAGTGCATGCATGCCTGCGTGAAATGTATGCATGAGAAAAATTAAAACTCAATGAGAAAATGATTGTGTGCAGTCACTTTGAATAGAGGCATGAATACGCATTACTAAACTTATCTCTTCAGGATATGTTTTGATATATTGCTAGTACTGAAAACCTATAGTTTACGTTACGCATACACTTCACGCAGGCGACTTCCTCGTGATATGCTTTGGATAATGCTAATATCGGCGGTATTTTTTCAAATTTTAGTGAAGAAAAAGAATAAATAAACTTATTCATACCCCTACACTTGGTAAAGATCAATATAGCGTCGATGCACTCGAAATTGATCTTTTAACGTTAATCAAACTTTACTTTTCATTTTTTTTCCTTTTTTTTTCTCTGAAATTAAGCAATTTTCCTTTTTTTTGTACATTTTGTAATATAAAACCGTAGTTGCTACCGCGAAAGAAATTTCATACTT